TTAATGAAATAAATAAAAAGTATTTTTTAAAAAGATTGCTTGCTTTACTCTCTCTCTTCCTCCAAAAAAGTCTAAATCATCCAAAAATAGGGTTGGAGAAAAACCCATATATTATTTTAAGACAGTGATTTTAATAGCATCACAATATGCATAAAAAGAATTTCAGAACGTGGTATCCTAAAACTTACTCACACCTCTTCATTAAAGAGTTGTTTCCCTCAAAAGCTTTAGAATGAGGTCTGTTACACTTTTTTTTAAAGATGGTAGTTTTTATAGTTGAATACCTTTTACATTGGTTACTGCCCTCATATACATAAAACTATAAAACTGAGCTAGGTGTTTTCTAATTTTTAATTCTATTAATTATTGAGTTTTTGGACTGACAATATTTTGACCTGGTAAATTATAAGTTTTAAAATTCAGAGTTCAATATTACATAGCATAGTAGTAACAGATCACATTTCTAGCATTTGAAGCTTCTATTCATCCTAAATAAAGAACCATCCATATTTTGGAGGACGTAGACTAATGTAAAACTACATAGATAAATGAAGTTCATATTCTGAAAGGTCCTATGATAAACTGAACAACAGTTAAATATGGGCCTACAGTTCAAATAGCATCATCACCTGACTAGTTCATTCCCTACTAGACTGAAAGCCTTTTCAGGGCCAGTATCTCCCAACACAGCATAATAGAAGCAACTTGGTTTAACTGAATCGATGAGATCATCTGGTAAAAAAAAAAAAATCCCCTTAGGAGTAAATGTTTGTAGTACTTGCTACAAATTAGTAGGGTTCAAAAGATGCGTAAAAGTAATTTGTTTGAATATATCTAAATGTACACTTTGAATCTATGCAATATGTCAAGAAATACTGTATTAGACACATTTAAGCCTCAAGGTAATCTATTTCATTTCACTATAAATCTACCTCTACACAAATTGAGTTGCATTCAAAGAAGGTTGTTTCTGTATATATTGCAACTGAGTTGCATTTAGTGATTTATGGTTGCTTTTGTATAGAAGGGTCAGGATACCAAGTTCGTTTTATTTCTAGAGTTCTTACAAACAAAACATAAAGCCAGAAATTTAAGGAGTCAGTATGATATGTAAAGAGCACTGAATGGATCCTGGCCTGGCTTAGTCGCTAAATTCTATAACCTTTTTGAGCTCGAGTTTCTTAATCTATAAAGGATAATGAAGTTAATAAACATATGTCTATCACCTACATCCCTACAATGGCTTGGTGGTACCTAATAAAACAGAGGGGTGTAAGGAGCCATTGTCTTTCATACAATAACCTCTTACCCTATCCCTATCAGAAGAAACTAAGTTTGATCTTTGAAAATATTAGGATTCAGACAAGTTAAAATTCAATGCTCCTTTGCACTTCATTTTAGCAGACAATATATTTTAAGCAAAATGTTAGTCATAAATTTTAAAAGAAATTTAAATCAAATGTGAATGTGTATAAAGTTAATTTCATTATTTCAAAATGCTACAAACATAGCTGAAATATAAATTTAAAAACTCATAATTTACCAAGTCAAAACAGTCCAAAAGTTCATTAGACAATAGTTAAAAATGAGAAAACACCTAGCTCAACTTCATCATTTTAGATATCTATTGGGCATCGGAGGTGGGAGGGGAAGGAGGGGAAGAATGCAAAAGGTATACAACCATGAAAACTAAACAAAAAAAAAGGAAACCTAACATTACTGTAAAGTTTTTGAGGGAAATAACTCTTCAATGAAAAGCATTTGTAAATTTAGGATACCACAGTCTGAAATTCTTTTTATGCAGCACCGTGATGTTATTAGCAACACAACCCCCTAAGTAGCATGTACACCTCTCTTTATAATTAAAAACGACACTCTTATACTGTTCTTTTAGGCATTCCAAAACAAGGCTGACCTCCCCTCTCCACAGGACTGTTTTCATATTTTGACTTTTAACGTCCTAGAACTTATTTATCAAAACTATCCCGCTTTCAAATGTGAGAAAGCAAACCAGCTCTTGCTTTCTTATTCCAGAGCGAGCCCTGTGTGAGGTCAAACAGCTTCAACCTAGTATCCAGACTTGCCAAATGGGAAGATGAAAACTACCTTGTGTCGGATGTAGAAGAGGAAGTGACTTACGGGCAGAAGAAGTTTTTCAACAGGTGTAAGAGATTAATTCAGGCATCACCAAGCAACGCTAAAAGTTTTCCAACCAAAAATTCTGTGCCAAGCAACCTGATCGGGGCTTTGGCCAGAATCCCTTCAGAGAGTCTTAACAAGGACTCTTGCTATGCTCAGAACTTCCAAAGACTTTCTCAATTAAGCTTCCTTTCACCTTAAGTTCCGAGGTACAGAAATTCTCTTATATGCCAGACAGATAGAAAAAAATTTCTTTAAATGAGGATTTAATTAATGCCATTATCCTTACAAGGAAAAATGTAACTTCTTTTAAAACAAAACTTGAAAGACAATTTTCTAAGTAGCATTTAAATGATGGTTTCAAGTATTAATAGTTTTCTCTCTCCATGGAACTGCCAGGGAAAAGGGTTTTGTTTTAATAATTGCTCCTTTCATATCATTAAGCTACTGATGAATTTAATAAGAGGAAAACATTCTCATTACCTGTTCTGTTTACTCTTTAAAGGCACTAAAATTTCTTTTAAAATTCATGGTAGTTCAACATTTTGCTTAAAAATGTTTAATGTCTAAAATTCAGAAAAGAAGCATTGAATTTTAATTCCTTTGAGGTCAATTGTTTTCAAAAATCAAATTGAAAGCTTCCTGGGAGGAGGGGGCAGAGAAAAAGTTAAATTTTTAAAGACAATAGCTATTCACACTCTCTTTACTTAATTTCTTATCTACCAACAAGCCAATTCTTGCTGAAAACCAAATCCCAATTTAGGCAGGATTCCTTTACCCCTTCCTCCCAGTCCCATCCCCCACTCAAGCTATTTCCCTAATCAAATTTCTTTTCCAGCTAAACCATACAGGAAAATCACAAAAGAATTATCTTTTTCTTTCTTGAAAACAGGATGCCCTAAAACGTTTACCAATACAATTATTTCCGAGTATGGATATTTACCGAAGATATAAAAGGTTTTAACATGAAATACAAATGAATTAGTTGTAACTATTTAATAAGTAAATGTTCTCTTTTGGAAAAAGATGTATTTTAATTGAGATTTTTTTCACAGGAAAATGTAAGCTAATGCTAAGCTTATTGAAAATGAGCCTCATATTTACCCAGGAATACAAAGGTCAATTCAAAATTTTTAAAGTAGTGAAAAGAAGTGTGAAGTCAACAACTACAAAAGAAAACACATTCCAGTGTAGCAGTTCAAACACTATTTCAAGAACCCGATTATTTATAAAGTCCCACATCTCACTTGGCAACCTAAGGTTTACATAAACTAGCAAACTCATGACCACATTGCAGATTCTTTAAAGAACCAAAAGCTCTGCATGTTCCAGTGGCTTGAACTGTATCTGAATAAACCATGAAATTAAAAGTTACGGGGCAAAACCTTCAAGCATAGAGATTTTACAGCTCACCTCAGATTCAGGATGACTTTTGGTACATAAATAAGCACTAGAGGAAAATGAACTGAGACTTTAAGACTTACAGTATGGGTCCCTCATTTTTCTAAAGTGGACAAACCTCGGTGGATTGGCAGTCCTCCCCGGCGTAGGTGTTTAAACACCTAACACACCTATGCGAGGGAAGACCACAGACGTTTATTCCGTTTACCTAAAGTGTTTTCTTATCAGATTTAGATAAACAGGTCAATATCAAATTTCTCCGGAAGGTCTGCCACCAGAAACGGTGACTTTTCATTAAAAGAGGAAAAAAAAGGAAGGGAAGACTTCCCTACTTAAGCAGAAATCCACGAGAAGCAGGAAAGCAGAAGGAAATTGACACGCACAACCACAGTGCAGCCCCAGCTTTCCTACAACCCAGTCCAAGCCTCTTTCACGCCCAGGCATCAAGGTTACTTTAAAAAAAAAAAAAGACAATAAACCAGGAAATCCGGATCAGAAACCCACCTAGCCAAGCTGGAAGCTCCATCCACTGCCTCGTTTTCCAGTGGGGAATCCCCTTGCCTCACCCTGGCCATACACAGAAGACTGTAGGAATTTTTAGGAGCCTGGGAAGAAGGCGCTTGCCCTCCCTTCCAGCGTTATTCTTGCCCAAGATTTTATTTGTTACAGGATGGAGGACGAGGGGTCGGAGGAACCAAACCAGCAAGGGCACCTCACTTAGGGTCTCCCACTTTACCTCCCCCACTCCAGGGATGGAACAGTCACACAAAGGTCTGGGAGCTGCAGTCCCAGATGAACAGCAATCGCCTTAGCCAAGACGGCTAAGCCGCAAAAATACTCGCCAGGGAGAGGCACGCATATTCCTGCGGGAGGGAGCGAAGAGAGAGGGAGCGCCACGGGGGATCCCCGGAGGATTGAGCAAAGCGGCTGGGGGACGGAGGGAGGGAGCAAAAAGGGTGGGTGCAGGGGAGGAGGGAGAGAGAGCGTGCGCGCCCTCTCCCCACCCTCTTCACCTGCGACAAGAGGGGGGCCCTTCCCCATGCGCCCGCCCCCTCCCTCGCCTTTCTGCACACCCCCACCGGTGCCTTTCATTTGGCCTCTGCAGCGGAGGGGCCGGCCGACCTCCAGCACCGAGCACTGCGCCAACAAGGAGGAGGAGGAGGGAGGCGGGCGGGGGGAGGACTAGCCCCACTCTGCAGCACCCGACCCTCTCCATCACGGGGACTCCATCCATCACGGGGTGGGGGGAGATCGGCGTGGGCTCGTCCCCGCCCCCATGCACACGCAGGCCTCCCTCAGGAGTGGAAGGGAGGGCAGCCCCCACGGGGGGCAAGCGCATCCCACCCCCCCATCCCCCAGCAAACACACACTCTCCACACCCTCGGACGGAAGAAGGGGGCAGGGGAGAAGGAAAGGAGGGTCGGTGCTCGGGCCCGTGAAGGCAGGGAAAGAGCACCCACCTCGATGTAGCCAGCCAGCGCGGCCGAGGGCGCCATGAGCCCGAGCAGCGCCAAAGCCAGGAGTCTGCCCATAGCGGCGGCCGTCCTCACTGCCGCCGCCATCCCCTCGCCGAGATTCTCTCGCTCCCTGGCTCAACCAACCACAACACAAGGACAACCAGCAAAGGAACTTATACCTCAGCGACTCACAAGCGACTGAAGCCAGTCCGCCGCCGCCCGGGGGTTTTACACCAACCGGAACTGACTTCATAAAACCACGCCCACCCCCTTTCCAGGCGCCCAATGCTTGGGACCGAGAGTTAGCCCAAAGACCGCCCCCCTCCTGCCTTAAAAAGCCAATCAGAGAGCCAGAAGACCAGGAGGCCCGAACCTGCTCCTCCTCAACTACAAGTTGTTCCCGCCCCCTCCCTTTACATAGGGGTGGTCCTGCCAACTTCCCAACCCATGCTATGCAGACGTGGGGCAGGTGCTGGGGGCGGGGGCGTCATTTCCAAGCTGTGGCTTAAGGTATAGACTCGCTAACCGCGTTTAAGCCGCAACAAGCTGTAGGACCGGCGACTCCCTCCCGCTGTAATCAACCCTATCCTCGCACGTATTACCCTCTTGCGCTTTATGTTAACTGCACGCCGAAGGTTCTTGCCCACCCACTGTCACAGCGCTGCAACCGTCACGTTCTTTCTATGACTAGGGTCAATACAATTCTGGAGGAATTTTTCTTGAATGCCTACATCACTTCTAGGACCCCCCCTCCCTAAAAGCACACCCACCTCCCCTATTCTGATCAAAGATCATTGCAGCAGTCCTGGCTTCTCGAAGAACGAATATCCATCTCCCAGTAGGGACTATGCTATGGCATTTTTTCAGGCTGGTGACAGAACTCAGAGACTCCTCAAGCCTCAATCCTACCCTTCCAGCTCTGGACATCACTTGCAATGGCAACAAGCATAATTCTCCCCGTGGCCAGGACAAAACCCATTATGTTTCAAGGGTCGGTCACTTGTCTGATTTACTATAAATTAAGAATAGTATGCAAGACTGTTGTTCAGGTTACCGTCCCCTTACATTTCCATTCCAGTTGTACAAGAAAAGTTTTTTTGCATCATTTTACAATTGGCATGGAATCACAAACGCTATTTTCAAGATGGTTGTTTAGCCAACAATATTGGTTTGGGTACAAGCTGTTTGGGTACAAAACAGTAATATAATAATAGTTCGTTAATTTATTAAGCACCTACTATGTGCCAGGCACTGTGCTAAACCCAGGACCTCACAGAGCTTTCCTAAAGATACAATGAGAAAGCATGTAACTGTATCCCTAGCACCTAGCACAGTACCTGGAAAATAGCACCTGTGTGCTCTACATGTAGAGCTTTGCATGTCTTCAAAACATTATGCATGTTTGAAAGCACTTTGAAAAGCACAGGACAAGCAATAACACTACTAGGTCTATATCCCAAAGAGATCATGAAAAAGGGAAAAGGACCCCCATGTACAAAAATATTTATAGCAGCTCTTCTTGTGGTGGCAAAGAATTGGAAATTGAGAACATGCCCATCAATTGGGGAATGGATGACAAGTTGTGATGTATGAATGTAATGGAATGCTATTGTTCCATGACACATGGTGAGCAGACTTCAGAAAAACCTGGAAAGACTTGCATGAACTGATGCTGAATGAAATGAGCAGAGCTAGGAGAACACTATACACAACAACAGCAACATTATTGGATGACCTACTTTGTTAGATTTAACTCTTCTGAGCAATGCAATGATCTAAGACAATTCAAAAGACTTATAATAGAAAATGCAATCCACATCAGAGAAAGAACTGTGGAGTCTGAATGGAGATCAAAGCATACTATTTTCTCTTTAGCTGTTTTTTGTTTTTTCTTTCTTATGGTTTTTCTCTTTTGTTCTGATTCTTCTTTCACAGCATGACTAATGTGGAAATATGTTTAATATGATCATACATGTATAGCCTATATAAAATTTCATGCTGTCTTGGCAAGGGAAGAGTGGAGAGGGGAGGAATTTAGAACTCAAAATCTTATAAAAGCAAATGTTGACAACTAAAAACAAACAAACAAATAAATAGATAAATTTAAATTTAAAAAAAAGCATAGGACATTCCCTCTCCAAATTACATATCTTTGCATAACAGATGTCCCTGTCTGGAATGTACTTTCTCCTCACTTTTCCCTTTTGAAATCCAAAGTTTCCTTCCACACACAGTTCAAGCAACACCTCCTACATGATATCACCAGCTACTTAATGTTCTCTTCATTTTGAAATTATTTGGTATATATTTGCTGTGTAGATGACACAGTCTTTCATGTAATGTAAGCTCCTGTATAAATGAAAAGATAACTAGAATGAAATCCAACTCTGAGTAACTGAAAAATCAATTCTGGTCCTGAAAAACAAATAAGGAAACATGCTTCCTCCTCTCAACAGACAGAAGACTTCAAGAACAGCATGTTGTGCACATTGACAGAGTGGTCACTGGATCTCGTATTTTTGACTGTTTTCCTTTATTGCAAGGAAGGATTTGATATGGTGGGGTATGTAATAATAATAATAATAATAATAACTAGCACTTACATAGCTCTTGAGGGTTTGCAAAGCACTTTACATAATTGTCACTTGATCCTCACCACAATGGTAAGAGGTAGATGATATTATTATCATATATTATAATAAGGAAACTGAGGCCTATAAAAGTTAAGTAACTTGCCCAGGGTTATACAATACCCAGGGTTATACAACTAGTAAATATCTAAGGTAGGAAAGGGAGAAAGGACAATGTTTATATAACATCTAATATGTGCCAGGCACTGTGCTAAATCACTTTACAAATATTATTTTATTTGATCTTCACAATAACCTTGTGAGGTAGATACTATTATCCCCATTTTACAGTTGGAGAAATTGAGACAGGCTGAGATTAGATGTCTTGCCAGGGTCACATAGCGAGGCAGTGTCTGAGGCCAGATTTGAACTCGGGTCTTCCTGACTCCAGACCAAGCACAAACACTATGCCACTCAGCTGCCTCTAGGACCTGAACTCAGGTCTTCCTGCCTCTAAGTCCAGCACCCTATATCTACTATACCACCTAGCTGCCATCATATCCAGAAATAACTATGATATTAAAATAAAATGTACATCCAGAGCTGTCCTCTGATATTGTAGAAAGCAAGAGAGAAGAATAGAAAAAGGATAAGAAATAGATTTAAAGGTCTTTCATCTAAAAATCTAGGGAGCCATTTAGTTACATTCTGAAAGAGGTACATTCCCTCTTTGAGCCCACTGAGGGACCATTGAGGTAGGTGTTATTACCCTATTCATCAGTGTTCTTGACTTTAAAATGTTACCCTTTTTGTATTTAGTGAAGCTATTAGAACATAGCTCATCTTATGAAACTCAAACATCAATTTCTCATCACCAAATATATTCGTATCAATGACTGATGAATTTAGCATGTTGTGTTTTAGCTTTATAAATGCATTTGTCAAAAGTGAAAGGCCCTAAATGGAATCCGCTATTTTCTTCCCCTTTACAGAAAGAGCTTTCCTTTTACAATTAAGAGTCTCCTGGCATCCTAAGAACCTACTAAAAGAGGTGTATTAAATGATTACCTTCTGTTCTGGAAGATTACTGAGTAAACACATAAATTATCCTCTTGAATAGAGAGGTGGTAGAGCCTGGATTAGAAAATCCCATTAGGACCTAATGGGGGTGGGGCAAAGGCTAGTATATTTGGCCTTGGAATGTTTATGCTAACATTTTAACTGGCTTTGCCTACTGTTCTGAGCAATCACAGAATTTCTATCAGGCTATGGAGCTGACTAAGGGAGAAATGGAAAGTTATATATGTTCTTTACCTGTCTTCCTTGATCAGATTCTTCCTTGTTCTATTCTGTTGCACAGCATCACCTTTCAGACTGAAGCAAACCCTAAAATCATGCAGATTTAACCTTGTGTGGATTATCACTTCCTTGAAATGGGGAAGATAAATAATTTTTTTTAAGTTAAAAGGGCTTTTCTTTCAAAAAAATGAAAGGGCTCTTTCTTTCGGCTCCTGCTGGACTAAAGAACATAAAGCAAAAACCTGGTTTTATGTCAAACAAAGATTGATTAATTCAAGCAGATGACAATATTGATAAGTACTTGAAAGCAAAATTTTTTACAGATGAGTTACCTACTTGAGTTGATTTTTTTCAGGGCTGAATTTAGGCATGAGAGGAAATCTGATATGTAGATATAGATATATCTATCTATATCTATATCTATCTATACACACATGTGTTTGCATCTGTATACATTTTATATATATAATTTTATTTTCAAAGTTTATCTTCTGAGTATACAAGAGTTTCTGAAAAGGTTCATAGCAATAATAAAAATAATAACAACAGCACATATTTCTATAGTACGTGTTTAATGGTTTAGACAGTGCTTCCTCCAGACAACACTGTGAGGTGGTTGCAGTACAATATTATGTGTATACCTTCTTTTTTTTTTTTTTTGGTGAGGCAACTGAGGTCAAGTGACTTGCCCAGAGTCATATATATCTCCTTTTTGAAGGTGAATAAAAAAATTAAAATGTGAAGTGACTTGCTCAAAGTCACATACCTAGTAAGTGATGGAGCCCAGGCCTTGGACGCAAGTCTTTGGACTCCAAGTCCAATGTTTTTTCCATTAGTCATATCTACAAGCATTTATTAAGCTTCCTACTTTATGCCAGGCACTGTGCTAAGCCCTGGTGATACAAAGAAAAAAAAAACAGAGCCTACTTTTAAAGAGGTCGCAGTCTAATCATGGAGCAACTTGTAAACAACTATGTTCAAACAAGTTAAAGAGAAGATAAATTGGAGACAATGATAGAGGGAAGGCACTAGTTTTTAAGGGAATTGGAAAAGGCTTCTCGTAGAATGTTGGATTTTAGCTGGGATTTAAAGCTAGGAGGTGGCCATAAAGAGGGAGAGAATTCCAGAGATGGAGACATCCAGTGAAAAAGATGGAGTATGTTGTTTGAGGAACAGCAAGGAGGAAGGAATAGCACTACATCAAAAGTCTTAACCATACAGTGGATGTGTAAAATATTTTAATTTATGCTTTTTGGATAACCTATCATTGTTTATGATTTTGCCTCTTTGACCCTACACCTAATCCTTGAGCCATTCAGAACAAAGAGCTATTCCTTTCCTTAAAGCC